AGTGACTAGAGAGTTTGGGACTCCTAAAGGGATTGTAACCTTACGGGAAGTAAGGGGCAGTGATTAAGAGTAAGCTCAATTACTGTACTGTGGCACTAAGAGCCCATTGAATCTTGGGGTTTAGTGAAAAACTTATAGGCATTTTGAGAACTGCACGTAGGTCAAGTTGTTGAGACCAAACCATTATAAATTCCTACGTATTCTTCTTCAGCTATTCTTTAGTGAAATCCTTCTAAACTTATTTCCCTTTCCTTTATTCAGTTTAATTCCTAAAAGGTTAGTTTTTTTGCATCACCCAATTCCCCCCTCTTGGATGAAATTGCCACTAACAACATCGCTACCTTATTTTGTAACATCCCAAAATTTGAAACCCTAGTAATGGGAATGTGAGAAATGAGATATGATTGATAAGCATAAGGTATGAGCAAAGCATGGAAACCCAAAATGGACGAAACTGTCTTTATCAGTCCCTAGGGGCAAAACGGTAATTTTAAGAAACGTTCTCAAAAATTTCCTAAAAATAGAAAAATGTAGAATTAGGGGTTTTTGAGTCACCTATAATGTTTTGGGAGTGATAATGGCCCAAAATAAATTTTGGTGAACATTCCCAGAAAAATAATAATTTTTGGGAAAATAAGGAAAATTAAAGGGCAATTAAAGTGATATAATTATTTTAATTACCTAAGAACTCTAAATATTTAAGGAAAAATATGGATACACTCCCTAGGAATATTTATGAATTTATAAAATTGTTTCCAAGTATTGAAAATGCAGGAAATAATTTATGGGGAATTTACTCCCGAATTCCTATTGGTAAACACCCGATTTCGGAGAAAATGTGAAAAAAATACCTAGAGGTCTTGAAAAAATCCCAAAACTTCCAGATCACACTTTTGGAATAAATAGGGATTTATCATGAAAAGAAATAGAATTTTGGAAGCCCATAGCTATTTTTCTCTAATAGGGGGCAAGAAATGGGGTATTATGTGACCAAATAATTTTTAAAATTACCCTAACCAATTCCATTGCTTCCTAATTAGTTTTTACCATTTAGTTAGCATCCAACAAGGCCCAAATTCGTGCTTATCATGATCAGAATAGATGGCTTGTGTGCTGGGCAAATTTTTAACCATTGGATCAACTTTCTTGAAACTTGAGTCAAAGGATGTGTGGCTGAGATTACTCCCTCATTTTGGCCTACTTACACACTTAATTTTAGGGCAGAAATAGCTGTCCAAGGGCAAGTTTTGGGGCAGTAAATGAGGTCTATAAATACCCCCATAATTCAGCCAAAATTCGTGCAAAAATCTAGAAAAATAGGGGAGGTTTTGCACAAATTTTTCTGGACTTCCAAACACCCTTCAAATCACTCCCAATCCAAGGCTAATAATCAAGCTTTAATCCAAGACTCCTTAAGGTATTTTTAGGCTTTAATTTGATGCATTTTAAATGGCCAAATCGTGACTTAATTTGAGGGGGAAGTGCTGTTCCATTTCTATTATGCTGGCAGTGCTAGGAAAAAAATAGCAAATTGAGTATGAGCTTGTGTTGTTGATATTTGGTGCGGTTTTGAATGGGTTATGGAAGAAATTACCCTAGGACCTATGAGTATTCAGTTCAGCCAACTCAAGAACTCAAGGGTAGGAATTGTTTCAATAAGTTCTAATGGTTCCAATGGATTTAAAATGTGATTTTGTGTAGGATTATGCCATGGAAGTATGTTTAAATTCATTGGAATCAAATGTGGAAATTTATGAACCTAAGGGGAGGTGTTCGGCCATCTTGAATTCATGAACTTATGATTGGATTTTAATGGTTTTGATGCTTCCATTGAACTCCTTGGGCATTTTTGTGTAGGGTTATGTGGAGGATTTGAATTTGGAAGCATTAAAAATCAAAGTTGGAAATTTTGACATCTTCCCTTGTAAAATTCATTTCTGTTTTGACTAGAACTTAAGGAAGGGATTTGATTTTGTAAAATTTGATTTGATATTTAAATTCTACATGAAAAATTATGTAAGAATGGCTAAGGAGGTTTCTTAAATCAAAGGGAAAACAATTAGGCCAAAAATCCCAAGAAAAAGGGTTTAATGTTTAAGTAATGGAGAATGTGTTTGAATAATTGTTGAATGATTGGTATTGGTGTTGGTTTGATAGGTACCTTACCAAATCCTCAAGAAAACATCTTGAACTTAAAGGAAATCAAGGACCAAGTACCAAAAGGTAGCATTGAATTACATTTGATTGCGTTCTTGCTTACATTGATGTGTCAATGTGTATGTGTGCAATGTGTGCCATGATGTGACTAAGCTTTATTGCAAATGTTGATTGCAATGTTTGAATTATGTTGCCTTGGCATTATGTCCATTGAATATGTGTATGATAACTTACTTTCCATGGCATAAAAGCATGAACACATAAACAAGATAAATGCACAAAAGCATTGCACGTAGTGTTTGCAGGAATGCATGATAATTGTGATTCTGTGCTACTGGGATTTCTTTGAAATCTCACTCTTATGTTTAACACCACCTAGGAGAGAGTTCAAGCAAGGGCAAAGGTAAAGAAATTGTCCCGGAGGCCTAATGAACAATTAATGTACCCTAGTGTAAATTTTGGAACTTGTTATGTAATATTATGACTTTGGAAATGTTTGTTGGATAATAGCTCCTAAGGGGAGCCAAGCATGTATGTCTATATTTAAACATGTGAAAGCATAGTAGAATGTATGTTCAAGATTGTGTTGAGTCCCAAATGATTAAGGATGGTTAAAAGGTTATGAAAGAGTCAAAACAAAGGTAATTAGGGGATAACCTTTGACTAAAAAGGACCAAACTTGGTGCATACCAAATAAATAGCAAAAGTTTTAATCTGGATTTGAAATTTGGCAGACTAATGGATCATATTTGTAGATTTAAATCAAGTGGTAGATCATTAAATTTGGAATTTTGTGGAAAGAGTTATGCCCTTTCAAAGTTGGGCAAAAATACTGGAAATTTCAGAATTTACCAAATGAACAGTATATAATTGCGTGGAAACTAGCATTGATATGTGAGAAATTGATACCTGTGAACATTTTTTCCTATATAGAACATTTCATAACCTTTGTTCGAGACTTGGAACCACTCTATTCCAATTTTTTTACATTTAGTTATGATTTTTCAAAGTTGACTCGATTTTTTAAGGGTTGCATGAATAGTAACCGAAATCAAAATTTTAAATCTTGGTTTTTACCTACTTTGAGCATCGTGTAACAATTCCAAATAGTTCCAAATGACGTATAATGGGGTTTAAAATGAAGGTGTGACATTTTTGGTATCAGAGCAAAGGTTCTGGACTATCTTTTATATGTACTGTTCGGTATGGTAATGCGTTAGGATAATGCTTATTTGATTGTGTGTCATGAAAGGTGTGCATTAGACTAACCTTGACGCAGGATATGGCTTGTTGTGAGCACGATTCTCTCGGGGGTACAATTGATCAAAGAGGGCCAAGGGAACCATACCCTGACTGGTACCACCCACATGTTCCTGACCCCGATGACCCGACTCCACCACCCGGATATTATCAGCCTCTCTGGGAAGTAGAGGATATAGTTCCTGAGGTAGACTCCAACGGTAGTAAAAGGTTAGAGGATGATAAAGCCAGGAGCGCTGTGGGGCCTAAACTTAACTCAGACAAAGCAGGCCCCAGTGGGACGAAGCCACAGCCTCTCAGAGTAGTGCACCATGATCAGATCTTGGAGAAGGACCTGCTTCCGAAGAAGAGGCAACGGTTGGTCACAAAGGAGTTGCACACCTATCAGGCTATTTTTTAGGAGCTCTGTGAGCTATGGAGGTAGATTGACATCTCCCAGAACCAGTATGGGTACATTTATATGGAATATTTTTACTACGTATGACTGTTACATAGTGATATTGTCGACTAGAAAGAGGGAGAGATAGATGAGGAGATGTGGGGACAAGCCTTAGTCGACTCTTTGCCAAGGACCCTTGTTTGGCAGGATCAGATCCAGTTGGCTAGTGACCGTTCCAAGCAAGGCGCCTATGGAAGCTTTGATCAGATCCTAGACGAATTGGAGCTTTTTGTTACTTCTTATTTTCCTTTCTCTCCCATGTCTTGGGTGGATGACTGTATATGTGACTTGGATGATCGATGTTTTAGATGCTTATACTTGAAACCTATCTATGTACAAATATGAAGCATAGCTTAGTATAAAATATTTTGATGACTAAGTAATAATCTTATTCCTCTGTTCCTCTTGTAGTAACAAGTTAAGTAAAATGGTGAGAACCCGAAGAGAAACACAACCAAGGGAGGCAGCAAGAGAACCTCTTATTGACCCGATTCAATTAGTTATGGACTGACTAGAGGAACAGGAGAAGGTGATACAAGAAATTCAGGCAGCCCATGTACGCCAAGACCAGGAACGCGATGCTGCCATAGCAGCCACAGTGACAGCAGTGATAGCACAACTACAACAGGCTGGGCCAAGAGTGGCCAAGGCACCATAGCCAGCTCAACCCCAAGAGCCAGCAGCTGAGCAGGTGCGACCTGCAGGGGATCCTGATTCACTAAGACAGTGGATCAAACGATTCAGTGCATAGAATCCCCCAAGTTTCACAGGGACATTGAATGTCCAAGTGGCTGAGGACTGGATCACTCGGCTAGAGAAGATTTTTAATGTGCTTGAATGTTCCTCTGAAAAAAAAGCTCAGATGGCTATTTATAAATTGGAGGGCGAAGCTGATCGCTGGTGGAAGAACACCGAGATGATCCTCCAGGAGAATGCAACCCCTATTACCTGGGAAGTGTTCAAGGAACACTTTAATTTGAAATACTTCCCACTGTCAGTAAGACACGAAAAAGAGGTGAAATTTCTGATGATTCAATAAGGTCCTCGAGAGTCCTTCGATGAGTACCTAGATAGGTACATGAGGCTCTCTCGTTACTCTAACTACCTCTAACTTTGCAATGATGAGTGGTGGAAAACAGAGAAAATGGTAAAGGGACTAAGGCAGGAGCTGAGGGAGAAGGTAGCCCTACGACAACTTGAAAAGTTCAATCAGGCAGTGGAAGCCTGCCAGATTACTGAAAGTAGCCTGAACCACCAGGCGCTAGTCAGGCCCGCTCCTAGACCAGAAGGACCAGCAACAAGGGACGGACCAAAGGTGACTTCTTTCGGAGGAAATAGGAAGAGGTGAAAGCCTATGTTTTCCAAGAAGTCTAAGCAAGGAGGAGGAGTGAGATAAGGAGGAAGCAACATTACGTGCCAAACCAAGGAATACAGCACCTGTGGTAAAAACCAAGGAGATCGACCATGCTTGATGGGTCAAAATGTGTGCTTCCGATGCAGCAAGCCAGGACACTATATAAGGGAGTGCCCCCTTAATATGGATGGCTCGAGGCCCCAAGCTCAAGGGAGGGTCTTTACCCTCACAAAGGAAGAGGCTGATAAGTCACCTGAGATGATACAAGGTATGATCCAAGTTAATAACTACCTTGTGCATGCAATGTTTGACTCAGGTGCTAGCCACTCCTTTGTTTCATATGAATGCGCGAAGCGCATAGGCCTTGCTATTAACACATTATTATATGATCTATGTGTGGCTACTACTACAGGCACTAAAGTTTATACATTTGATGTTTGCCTAAATTGTATTGTCCAGTATGCCCACTGTTGCACTACACTTGACCTAATATGCATGCCTTTTCATGAGATTGATGCGATACTTGGTCTGAATTGGCTGTCTACCCATAATATACTCCTTGACTGTAAGAATAGGACTTTGATTTTTCCTCCCCATGAGCTAACCCCTCATACCGAGGTGAAAATAAACTTGATCATGAGAGCCCAAGCCGGGGATTACCTAAAACATGGCTGTCAGGGGTACGTGGTATTCTTCTCTGTACATGCAGAAGTGGAAGAAGGCGTAACAGAGATACCCGTGGTATGCGATTTTCTGGAAGTCTTTCCGACAGAAATTAGCGGGTTACCTCCAGAATGAGAGGTAGAGTTTGCAATTGACTTGATACCTGGAGTAGGGCCGATTTCCAAAGCCCCTTATCGTATGGCTCCAAATGAAATGGCAGAGTTAAAGAAGCAGCTAGAGGAGCTATTAGAAAAGAATTTTATCTGGCCCAGTATGTCACCATGGGGAGCACCCATCTTGTTTTCCGTAAGAAGGACGGTAGCCTAAGGTTATGCATTGATTACCAGGAGCTCAACAATGTGACGATTAAAAACAAGTACCCACTACCTAAAATAGATGATTTGCTAGACCAATTAGCTGGTGCCACAGTGTTCTCTAAGATTAACTTGAGATCAGGTTACCACCAACTGAGGATTAAAGCAGAGGACATTCCAAAGACCGCTTTTCGAACACGGTATGGGCACTGCGAGTTCTTAGTAATGCCCTTCGGATTAACGAACGCCCCTGCGATTTTCATAGATTATATGAACAGGATCTTTCGGCCATATCTAGATCAATTTGTGGTGGTTTTCATTGATGATATCTTAGTATATTCCAAGTCACCAGTGGAACATGAACAGCATTTACGGATTGTTCTAAGTATTTTAAAGGAGAAATGGCTATATGCCAAACTCAGCAAGTGCGAGTTTTGGCTGAATGAGGTAAAGTTCTTGGGTCATGTGATTACCTAAGATGGAGTAGCAGTGGATCCCAATAAGGTGGAAGCAATTCTGAACTGGGAGCAACCAAAAATAGTAACAAAAATACAAAGCTTTCTGGGATTGGCAGGTTATTATAGAAAATTTATTAAAGATTTTTCAAGAATCGCACAGCCCCTAACTAAACTTACACGTAAGAACCAACAATTTGTGTGGGATGATAAATGTGGGGCTAGCTTCCAAGAGCTGAAACGAAGGTTGACCTCGACCCCTGTGCTAATAATTCCCGATCCAACCATACCGTATGTTGTATATATCGATGTTAGCAAGCACGGATTGGGGTGTGTATTAATGCAACAAGGACGAGTAGTCGCCTACGCCTCAAGATAGTTAAAGTCTCATGAAGAGAATTATCCCACTCATGACTTAGAATTAGCTGCAATAGTTTATGCCTTAAAAATATGGAGGCATTATCTATACGGTGCAACCCTTGAACTATATTGTGACCATAAAAGTCTCAAGTACCTGCAAGATCAAAAAGAACTAAACATGAGACAACGACGATGGATGGAGTTGCTCAAGGATTATTATTACCAGATAAAATACTATCCAGGCAAGGCGAATGTGGTAGCTGACACCTTTAGCTGAAAGATAGTACAAGTAGCATTCCTAATGATTCAGGAATGGAAACTCATCGAAGATGTGAGGGATTGGGAATCTTTATTCCATATGAAACTAATGACCTAGAAAGTAGAAGTGATGAGAGCTAAAGCCTAGTTGATAGAACAAATCAAAGAGGCCCAGAAGAGCGATCTGATAGCTGATACACTTCGGACTAAGCTAACAAAAGCTGAGGATGATGCAATCGAGGTGTCTTCAGATGGAATATTGAAGTATAAGGAACAGGTATATGTTCTGCAGTCCATCAGGCAACAGCTATTGGAGGGAGCACATAAGAGCAAATATACAATACATCTGGGAATGACGAAGATGTACCAGGACCTCAGACGTATGTTTTGGTGGCCTGGCATGAAGAAGGACATAACAGAGTATGTATCTAAATGCCTCACTTGCCAAAAGGTCAAAATAAAGCATCAGAGACCGTCAGGGCTTTTACATCCTCTAAATATTCTAGAATGGAAATGGGATAGTATCTCCATAGATTTCATCATAGGGTTACCCCGTACCTCATCTAGATATGACGCGATATGGGTGATTATTGACCGATTAACGAAGTCTGCCCATTTTTTGGCAATGAAGAAAGATTACCAACCAGAGAAACCTGCCAAGTTATATATCAAAGAAATTGTGAGATTACATGGAGTACCAGAGTCGATTGTATCTGACTGAGATCCTCGATTTCTCTCTCAATTCTGGAAAGCACTGCAACAAGCAATGGGCACCAGGTTGAGCTTCAATACAGCGTATCACCCACAAACAAACGGTCAGACAGAGCAAACCATACAGACACTAGAAGATATGTTGAGAGCTTGTGTATTGGATTTCAAAGGTAACTGGGATGACTATCTGCTATTAGCACAATTTGCTTACAATAACAGTTATCACTCCAGTATACAGATGGCTCTGTATGAAGCTTTGTATGGTCGCAAGTGCAGATCCCCACTGTGCTGGACAGACTTAGGGGAACGAAAGTTATACGGGCCAGACCTAGTCGAGCAAACAACTAAGAGGATAAGGTTGATTAGGCAGAAACTGCTCACGACCCAAAGTAGACAGAAAAGTTACGCAGACGTTTGGTGAAAGTCTTTGACCTTCGATATAGGAGACCATGTGGTCTTGAAGGTGTCTCCGACAACGGGAGTAGGAAGGTCTTTGAAATTGAAGAAATTGTCACTAAAATATATCGAACCTTTCCAGATTTTGTCAAAAGTAGGACCGATGGCATATAAAGTGGCCCTACCATTGAATCTTAGTCAGATACATGATGTCTTCCATGTATCCCAGTTAAAGAAGTACTAGCCAGATCCCTCTCATGTTTTGGAATATGAAGATATTGCACTACGAGATGACCTAACTTGGGAGATCAAACCAGTAAAGATCATTGATTGTCAAGTAAAGCAACTGCGGCAGAAATCCATCCCAATGGTTAAAGTCATCTGGGAGAATCTGGCACAAGAAGAAGCAACCTGGGAGAAGGAAGACGACATGAAAGATAATTATCCCGAACTCTTTGAATAAGGTATATTTTAAATTTCGAGGACGGAATTTATTTTAAGAGGGAGGGAAATGTAACATCCCAAAATTTGAAACCCTATAGAATGTGAGAAATGAGATATGATTGATAAGCATAAGGTATGAGTAAAGCATAGAAACCCAAAATGGATGAAACTGACTTTATCGAGTCCCTAGGGGTAAAACGGTAATTTTGAGAAAAGCTCTCAAAAATTCCCTAAAAATGAAAAAATGTGGAATTAGGGGTTTTTGAGTTACCTATGATGTCTTGGGAGTGAGAATGGCCCAAAATAAATTTTGGTGAAAATTCCCAGAAAAATAATAATTTTTGGGAAAATAGGGAAAAATAAAGGGGAATTAAAGTGGTATAACTATTTTAATTACCTAAAAACTCCAAAAATTTAAGGAAAAATATGGATACACTCCAAAAATTTTCTACATTAGTTATGATTTTTCAAAGTTGACCTAATTTTTAGGGGTTACATGAATAGTAATCAAAATCAAAACTTTAAATCTTGGTTTTTACCTACTTTGAGCATCGTGTAACGATTCCGAATGGTTCCAAATGACGTATAATGGGGTTTAAAATGAAGGTGTGACATATTTCTTCTTCTTCTAACCAAAGTACGAATGTGATAGAATGTAATGTTTCTATCACCATCATTTATCCACTCTCCTCTGGACTTTTAAAACCAAAACACCTCTTCTTGTTTCAGGACCTCATCCAATTCCTCTTGAAGTTCACCTTCTAATCAAATGAGAGTCGCAATCGGTTGATTAAAAGAGCTTAATTTCCTTTAAATGCCATCAATCCTTGCCAAAAAAAAACCTTTTTCTTCTTTTGAAGATGAAGAAACACATTCTGGTTCCATTTTAGTAATTTCTCTTGCAAAACATTTAAACTTCCACTAAAAATTCCCTTATTGCTCCATTTTTCCTTAATAAGATCACCAAAGCCATGATGTAACATTCACATAGCCTCAAAATGAAAATGTCTAACCCCCTATACCTTCTTTCATCCTCTAAACATAGTAATAAAGGATTGTGATCGGAATAGCTTAACCTCACAAGATTCTTAATCATAGTATTAGGAAATAGCACTCTCCAATTAGCACCACATGAGTCTTTGTCCAACCACTCAAAGACTCTTTCATAACTAGGTATAAGGAGACCCTCTGAAGTAAAACAGTTCCTATCACATCTAGTAATTTGCTAAATAAGAGTAAGGATATTTCTAGATGCTTAAGGGCTAGAATAATAGGAAGAAATGATATCACACAACTCTTAAAGTTAAGTTAGTGTCGGGACAAAAGTATAATTTTCAAAAGTTACGAGCAAGTTTATATAATATTAGAAAATATATTGGAAATTTCCAAAAATTATTGGATAATTATGGAAAATAGGAAAAGCCCCTAGGAAATATATTGGTCTTAAAAACTTAGAATTATGATGGAAAATAATTATTATTGAATTTCCAGTAATTGTGGAAGTTTGACTAATTGAGAAAAATTGGTCAAAAATTAAATATTTAAAATATTTTTGAGTCTCAAAAATTTGAGGAAAAAAAAAAGGATAATGTGCATTGGGAATTATATGGTAGTGTATAATGGTTTTATTTCCAAATTACCCTTAGAAAAATTATAAGGGAATTTAAAGACTAATTAAGCTAATTTGGGGTTTTTATTTGGAAAATTCCAAATAAATACTTTTAAGGACAACTGAATCCCAAGAAAATTGACTAGGTATACCTAGAAATTATAAAGGATTATGAAGCAAAAAGAAGCCCCTTAAATATTCAAAAATTCTAAAAATGTCTTCCCGAGTAAAGAAGTTACTATGGTAATTTAAATAGTTTTCTTCTTTACCATTGATAGAAAATTGTGATGTTAACAAGGGAGGGCATTTGGGGAAGAGAAAAATGATAAGAATGTATTATGGATCTGACAGAAAATAATTACAGTAGCTAGGATACTGTAATTGCAAAATAGAAATTAATTTCACTGCAAAGTGTACTGATAAAGTGAAAAGAACCTTCTTGATTTTTACTTGGCCCGTATTTTGCCACTTGTCAAACTATGAATAAGGAGGATTAAGATGCCACTTTTCAAGCCAAGTATGAAGAGGCTTTTGACTTTGGAAAATCAATTTTAATTGGATTTATTTTAAGAAGGGAAATTAGTCCAA